CGCTTGCAGGAGGACGAGGAAGGAGAGGTCGGGGCTGTTGTAGAAGAAGTGGTACGTGCACGCGGCGACGCCGGACGCGTGCAGCGGCAGCATGCCCCACGTCAGTCCCTTCCAGCGCTCGTTGCCTGACAGCGCTGCCATCTGCCACACCATCCCCATCGCAAATAAGTACCTGCGGCGCGCCGCCGGTCGCTGAGGAGAGAGCAGGGGCACCTCGAGATGCGGGGAGAGGTGGGGAGAGGTGGGGAGATCTACCAACGCAGCCCAGCAGCGTGATACGGGGAGATATGGGGAGATGTGGGGGAGATGTGGGGAGATAGCACCGACGCCGGGAAGCCCGGCAGCGTGATAGATAGGGGGAGATCTGGGGGAGATATGGGGGAGAACGGGCTGCTCTCTTGTCCCCGCAAACAGACAGCTCACTCGAAGACGGACGAGAAGTGAATCGCCCACCTGTTCACAGCTGCAGGTGTGAATAGACGCCGTTCACACCGACGTGGCGAGCAGTGAATCGGTCACGTCGGGATCGACAGCGCGTTGGCAGGCTCCGCATGCAGCGGCAGCGGCGACGCGGCGAGGAGGTCGGCGGGCAGCGCCTGAGCAGTACTGACCACCGGTGAATGATCGCCACCAACTGAGAGCCGACGAGGACAGCGGCGGCGCGGCGCCCCGGCGCCAAACAGGAACGGCGAGTGCGCCTCGTTACAGTGATGAACCGCTTAGTTGATCGTTCGCATCCGGCGGCACGACGGGAAGGGCGAGTGCGCCTCGACGCCGAGCTGCGGGCCGGCGAAGGCGGAGCCGAAGACGGTGACGGCGAGAGCGAGGGCCGCGAACCGCTGCGGCCGCGTCCCCTCCATGCCCGCACCGGCCGGCTCCATCTTGCCACTGCTCAGTGCGCCTATCAACGGCGAGTGGGTGGTCCGTGGCGACGCGCGCGCCGCAGCTGGGTGCACTGGCACTGCCACGGAGCGCGCGCCGGCGAGGCCGAAGCCGAGGAACAGGTTCGATGTCGTGAGCAGCGCCTCTGCTCCGCCGTGCAGCCAGTCGACGTCTGCGAGCGACGAGGAGTAGGTGCCCTTGGTGACGATGCCGGTCAGCACGGTGGAGACGACAAACAGGAGGAGGAACTGGGCGCCGAACTGGGCCGTCTTGGGGCAGCGGTTCCCCTCGTACCCGAGAAAGTACAGGAACAGCAGGTACGGCGGCAGCGAGAGCGGGAAGAGCGCACCGGCCAAGTTGCCGGCCTGATCCGCGAACGCCAGAGTGCTGCTCACGTCGCCGAGGGAGGTGTGCACGCTCGCCACGGCAGAAGCGTCGAGCAGCGCGGCCGGCGAAGCACGCGGCGCCAGCAGCGGAGGCAGCGGCGAGGTGGGAAGTCGAAGCCTCATTACCGAGAAACTAACAGTCCGCTGTGAACAGACGCACTTGCCGTCGGGGGCAAGTACCCAAATCGGCTAGGTTGGGCGTGCCTCCGTAAGAGAAAAAAACCCTCCGTGAGCCGCTCCTCGAGGCTGGAGACACTGGGCGACAGGAATTCATTTTACGAGAAAAGAGGTTCCTCTCTCTCGGAGGTTCTCGAGGTGGATATCCTTCGGCCGCGTTGGGTAGCGAGGATTGGTGTGACGCGATCCACGCAGGCGTGATTTCTGACGGCCGACCGTCAGTGCACGGAGTTGCCCCTTCTCGCCGACTGCCCCGGCTAGTTCCCGAGGTCGCGCGGGGCTGACCCCTGCGTCCCCCGAGACCTAGCGCGGGTGGGTTGGAGGGGGGCTGCCTCGCCCCGCTCCTCCCCATCGGGCCGCATGAGCGGCCACGCCTCGCAGATTCGTTTCTCGCGCCTGGGTCAGGCGCGCGGGGCATCCCCCGGGTCGCTTGACCAGCGATCCGAAGAGTGGCCCCTATGCGAAGCTAGGAAAAAGCGGGGCCCCCGGGGTACGCCCCCCCCCCCCCCCCCCGAGGGGGGAAGGGAATTGCGGGGTCCCCACGGGCGCCTCAGTTCGGCCCTCCCGAGGAGAGGCGGAGGAGAGGCGGATGAGAGGCGGAGGAGGGGCGGAGGAGGGGCGGCGGAGGGGCGGAGGAGGGGCGGAGGAGGCGCGGCGGCGGAGGCGCGGCGCGCGGCGGCGGAGGCGCGGCGGCGGAGGTGCGGCGGAGGTGCGGCGGCGGCGGAGGCGCGGCGGCGGCGGAGGCGCGGCGGCGGAGGCGCGGCGGCGGAGGCGCGGCGGAGGCGGAGGCGCGGCGGCGGAGGCGCGGCGGCGGCGGAGGCGCGGCGGAGGCGCGGCGGAGGCGGCGGAAACGTGCCCCGCCCGCGGCCAACTCTGCGCCGGCGCACTTTCAAGCTGCTCACGCGCAAGGTGCTCGACGAGCCCTACCAGGGCTTCCCCGGGGGCATCATCGCACGCACGGGTGTCGGTGGTAGCGAGTGAGCCGCGCGGCGCGGCTGTGGGTGGGAGTCAGTCAGTCGCTTGTCACAGATTAGTCCAAGAATAGACCGTCGGAACACCGAAGACGCGAGAAAAGTTCGGGATCCCGAAATAATGTAGGTGCACACTGGGCAGGGGACTGTATGTATGTAGGAAGGTGAAGAACAGTCAGGCTCGGGAGATGCGCAGCCATCGATTCCACATGAATTCCAACTGCGTGCAGTTGGGCGGCGACGGGCTGTCATACATGCGCCTCATTCACCGCCTCATTCCCAAGCTGTTTCTGGAACGTACACCGGTCGTGATTCCTAGGCTAGGCGAGGCGCCTCACGGGAAGTTTCACGTGCTGCACGGCGGCTGGCGACTGTGGTGGCCGCTGCTCATCGATGCAATTGGCAGCCGTGGTGGGCAACCGAAAGGTGAAAAAAGACCCGACAGTGTCAGAGTTCAACGAGCACGAACACTTCTTGCGGATCGCTGTCGAGGCCCTCGCCGAGTACGTCGTGTTCATTTCACAAACCGGCAGCGACTACAGGCACTGCGACGCTTTTTTGCGCGAAGCTGAGCGCAACTTGTCGTTCGGCTACATCTGCCACTTCCTCTCTCTGTTCGGATTCCTGTATGTTGAAATGCGAGCGGCTGTCCGGAAAAACGACTCGGCCACTCTGGATCGAGTGTGGCGCGAGAACCTCCCGACGGCCCGTGCAGCCAATAAAACCAACTACAGCCAAATGTCCGTCATTACCGTGTACTGGGGCGGGGCGCTGAGGGAGCCGTTGAGGACTGTGCATTTCACAACACTCGCACCCTCCGCTGGCTCGACACGCATGTGGGCCTCGACTTCCCCATTGAGCAGCTCAACAACTGGATTGCGGACGCCTGCCCGAAAATCATCACAGAAGAGTGGGTTCGCAAGTTCATTCGACGCGTTCCCTTCACGCAAACCGTCAACCGTTCGGTTCGCGCGGCGCTGCACGCCAACCGCGAGGACGAGTCGGAGCATCTCAAACACATCGCCAAAGACAAGGCGCTGATTGTGCTCTTTCTAAAGGAGAGGATCGGAGACACCTACCAGGCTGCGACTGCCGCGAGCGACGCAAACTTGCTCGATCTGGACCTCAGCGAGTGGGGCGGCAACCGGGACGGCGCCGCAGGCGACCGACAGCGCCGCGCAGGTGCGCCGTGGAAGAAGATGGAGCGCTCCATGTCGGACGTTGAAGAGTACGTGCGCGAGCAGGTCACTAAGCTCTGCCCATGGCACCTGTGGGCGTGACGCGTGCCTTCCCCTCCGCCATAGCCTCCCCCCTGACCGCGGGCCGGGGCCGAATTGTGTCTCCGCGCCCTCCGAGGCGCGGTCTCGGTGTCGCTTCCGCCGCTGTTCACTATTTTTATGTGCATTAAGCTGTCTAATGAGTGCACCCGGTACCTGGGTGCGGCTGCGCTTGCGGGTAGCGGCGCGGGGCGCCGTCGCGCGCGTCTCCGACGCGCCGGCCCACGAACGGCGAACCGGCGGTTCGGCCGTGGGAGGCCTCTCGCGCCCCGAGGTCGGCCTCGACGCGGCTCCCTCGGGCCGGGCCCGTCGCCCCGCACCATCAGACGGTGGCGGGTACCCTCCCCGCCCCCTCCCGCGCTCAGGCGCCGCCGCTGAGCCGCCGATACGCAATTCGTAACATATGGTTAGATGGAAGCGATGCATCAGACGTGTGCGTAATACATGAGGCGTAACCCCCTCTCCACCGCCGTTCACGGTCGAGCCGAGCGTAGTGCATGTGCGCAATGCGTCGGTCATAGGCCCACCCAGCCCCGATTTACGATCCCACTGCGTAAGACGTGTGCGTAATACACCCCGTGCGTAGCGCCCCGAGAGAGCCTCTCAGTCTCTGGCAAAGCTTACATAAAACAGATGCGTGGTGCGTGGTGCGTAGCGGCCAGAAGGTCGATGGTAACGATCGGTGCAGAAGACGTGCGCATAATACGCAGCACATTTGAAATCTCCGATCGGGCTTTCTGTCTGTACGCGTAAAGCGAGGCGTATGCGTGACGCATCACTGAGCCGCCACCCGGCTTGACACGGCACCAAAATACACGACGTCTCAGCGACGTCCTACAAACCGTGGCCATGGATGTGCATAAGGTGGCCAACAATTGCATTAGTGGCTCTTACATATCCATAGCGGGACTAATCACCTCCCGCTTGGGCTGGGGAGAACACTTGAACAACGTTGAGGATTTCAGCCAACAATAGTGCAACTGTTAGGCCCAAAGTTACAGTAACGTTTGACAACCCTAGGTAAAAATACGACTTTCTCATTGAGCTGTAATGCGTAAACTAAAGCGTAAGACTTAGAGACCGTAAGAGAGTGCTAAGCTCACTATTAGCTGTCCCCTCTCCACCCCGCGGCGAGCGCACGCTCGGGCGCGCAAGCTCTCACCACACGTCCTACGGCTGCACTAAAGGCTCCTGGCGCGGCTCGGCGGGGCGCCGCCGCACGATGGGTGCGCCACCGCTACGCGGCGGCGGAGGAGCTCCCGCTGGGCGCCGCCGCTGGAGCGGCCCCGCGTCGTATTATTGCACCGCTACGGCTGGACCATTTGCTGGGGCTCCTGGCTGAGACTTCCTTCGGCGAGAGAGTCCCGAGAGGCGGGGCGCCGCCACACGAGGCGCGCCACCGCTATGTGGCGGCGGAGCAGCTGCCACCGCCGCCTGAGCGAGCCCGCATCGCACGGCACGGCTCCCATGCTTGTTAGTATGAGGCGCAAGCTCATCTTGCGGTGCGCCGGAGCCGGGTAGAGCGGCACCGCCACCGTGTCGAAGAGCTTGTACGGCGGCTGCAGCAACACCTGTGGCGTCTGCTGGATAACGTTGCAAAAGGCGCAACCGCCGCAGCTGGGCTCTTGCTCGTGGACCATGGCGATGGTGATGCGCTGGTTCCCCATCGCCGCTTGCGCGAGGCGCGCGACGGCGCCGCCGGCGTCCAGAAAGGTCTTATTGTTCAGGTAGAGCAGAAACACTACGTGCCCGGAGAGCCGGTCCGCGCTGGCTCCCTCGAGCGCCTCCTCCGCATCGCGGATCGTGACCCCCTCGGCGCTGGCGGTAGAGCCGCGCCCCTCCCCCGCCGCATTCTTGAGCTCCCCTGCAATGCCGACGGCGCCCTCATTGCCGCGGCACACGAGGATGGTGACGGGGCCGCTGAAGGCACAGGGCCCCGGTTGAAGAGGGACCATCAGGCCGGCGTCAAGTTCAGTCTGGCGGCTCGCGTAGTAAGGAGAGTGGAGGAGCATGCGCAGCGCGATGGCCTTGAGCGACTCGAGTTGAAAGGCGTTGCCCCGCACCCACACGATCGGCGCCGCCTCCTCAAACACGCGCGCGAGCATCTCGCCTGGCCCGCTGTAGTTAGGGTAGCCAGCAGGGGCGGTCTCGACGCAGTGCTCGCGGCACTCTGCCTTCAGGTCCTTGATCGAGGCGCCGCCCTTGTCGACGTCAGCCTCCTGGATCGGGATGAAGGGCCGGTTCGAGCCGAGCGCCGCGTACAGCTCGCGGCGACAGTTGAAGCTCATGAAGTATCTGGCGCTGAGGAAGACGAGGAAGGTCATCGCGTCCCTCACCGACTCCTCGAGCCTGCCCACGTCCTCGAGGTTGTCGACGTCGAGCCAAATCCGGACGCCGGGGATCAGCAGCTGCAGTCGCCGCACGACGGTGTGCGTCTGGTCCTGGCCGGTCCCCCAGCAGTGCGAGATGAAGCCGTGGAAGTGGCATGTGCGCGGCAGCGTGAGGACTGGGGGACGGCCGGAGGAGGCGAGGCGGATGGTGGGTGCGCGGACGGCGCTGACTGTCTTAAAGAGGACAACGAGCAGCGACGTAGCGAGCATTGCGGCGGTGAGCGCAACGACAAACTCACTCGCGCCGCGCGCGCTCTCGAAGCCGACGAGGGTCTTGCACATGTCCTCGTAGGCGGCGCTCTCGCACAGCTGAATCATCATGCCGGAGATGAAGCAGCAGGCGAGCAACAGGTTGGCGGTGCACGCCAGGTAGAGGTCGTCGTCGCGCTTGAAGGGCTTGGCGAGGGCAAGCGCGGCGGCGTAGAGGGCCGAGACGACGGTGGCGACGACAAGGCGGAGTAGCTTGCTCGAGCCGTCGTCTGTCTGGATGAAGAGCACCAGCGAGGCGAGGAACAACTTGCGGCCCATATCGACGACCTCCCAGAAGAGGAAGCCCGGGTCGTAGTCGCGCCAGAGGAAGCGGCTGGCTCGGGCAGTGGCCCTGACTCGCTGCGCCCGCACCTCGGAGCGGATCGAGAGCAGGAGGACCAGGAACGAGAGCGGCACGAGCACCGGCCAGAGGACGAAGAAAACCCAGAAGTACGCGTCGAGGCCGCTGTACTCGTCGTCGTCGGCGCTGCAGAGCACGTCGAGGTCGGCAACGAGGTAGCTGCGCCTCTCCCCTGTCACGTCGTCGACATTAAACGACTCGCACTGCCGCGCCTTGAAGATGGAGCGAGACACGGAGGGCAGCACGAGGTAGGCGACGAGGATGGCCCAGTAGAGGAGGCGACGCAGCGTAGCACGGACGAGGTCGCGCCGGAGGGCGTCGGCGCGACCAGACAAGAGCCACTCCGCGAGGGCGTAGCAGGCGAGGGCGGCGCCTCCGAGCAAGATAGATAGGATTGGCCACAAGCCTGCGAGCAGTAGCCGGTCTCCCATAGAGCCGATGCAAGTGTCCGGATAGGTGAGGCCGAGCAGGTCGAGGCTGATCGCGTCCATGAATTCGGTCCAGCGCGTAAAGTCCTCGTGGAGGCGGACGCCGTAGACGGGGCCGAGCGTCGCGGCGATCTGGTAGAAGCTGACCAAAATTTTGAACTTGGGCTGGAAACCGACCTAAGGCAAATGATGCGAAAGGTGTCTCGCCACACGCAATGTGTGAGGCAGCGACGGGCAACTACCATTCTATGATCGGCAAAAGTCCACGGCAGGAAGAGGCAGTGCAGGGTGACTGAGGGGGCTGCACGCCGACCTGCGACTCGACGATATCAAGACGTGCTCTGAAGCGGTCCCATGCCTCGGCGCGGGCGAGGGCGCGGTACAAGACGAGCCCTGTCCCTGCGAGAGCGACGACGACTCCCGCCAGGACGCCGAACCTCCCCGCCGTCGGGCAGTCGGCGCAGCCTCGCTCCGCACGGCTAAAGTACTGCTCGTCGCTCACGCACCACTCGCAGAGCGGGCCGGTGTGGCCGAGGTCGCAGCCTGGGCCGGCGCCGCCAGACGCCGCGAGGAGGCGGCGAGAGGCCTCCGTTGAACCGCCCGAGCCGCTGCAGTGGTCGGAGGCGTCGCACTCGTGAATTTCGGTGGTGACGAGCGAGGCGCGCCAGTAATCGCGCCGGACGCCGAGGGTCTCGAGAGTGGTATTGGTCGCGCAGTTGGCGTTCGGCGGGCAAGGCTTGCAGTAGTCGGTCGGGAAGCGGAAAATGTCATCCGGAAGGGCGCTCGCGTCCCGCAGGTAGAAGCCCTCCTTGCAGAAGGAGCAGGTGACGTCGCCGCTCTTGGAGCCGGTAGGGTAAGGGCAGGGCGTACACTGCGACAGGCCCTCGCTCGCCGCGTAGGTGCCCGCCTCGCACTCCTCGCAAGCGGTGGTGGAGGCTGCGAAGTTGCCGTTCGGGCACAGCACGCACGCGGACATGTTGGGCGAGGGGGCGATGCTACCTGGAGCGCACTGCGTCTGCTGCGTGGAGCCCGCGGTGGCGAAGTGGCCCGGCGTGGCGGCGGTGCACTTCGAGGCGGCGGCTAGGTTGGTTGCGCGCGAGTAGCTGCCCTTCTCGCACGGCAGCGGCGCCGCCGCGCCCTCGGCGCAGTAGCTGCCCTCCAAGCACGGAAGGCAGCCCGTCGCGCCCGTGTCGTTCTGGTAGGATCCGGCGGAGCAGCGCTCGCACTTGGAGAGGCCAGGCGTGGCGGCGAAATGGCCGGGCTCACAGGGCGAGCACGTCTCGCTGCTCACCGCCCCTGGCGCCGCGCTCGCTGTGCCGATGGGGCACAGCTCACACGCCGCGCTCGAGCTGGAGCCTCTCTTCGGGTTGAAGCTGCCCGCAAGGCAAGGCTGCCAGACAAGGCGCGAGGCGGCGCCCGCGTCCTCGCAGACGCCGCCCTTCGGGCAGGCTTCGCAGGCGGCGCTGCCGACGTCGGGGGAGAAGGAACCCGCGGCGCAAGGCAAGCACTCCTCCTGGCCGCTCTCTGGCTGGTGTTGGCCGGGGGCGCAGAGGAAGCAGTCCGAAATGTTCGCCGCCCGCTCGTTGGGCATGTGGGTGCCGGCGGGGCACTTCTGTGGGAGGATGGATCCCTTCGGGCAGAAGTGGCCGGACCAGCAGGGGCCGCTGCAGTCGGAGGTGAAGTGGTACGACGCGTTCCCGTAGTGACCCTCGGCGCAGAGCCTGTTGCAGCCGGACAGGTCGCCGATGATCTGGCCGACGTTCGGCATCCAAGATCCGAGCGGGCAGTCCCACGTTAGAGGCGAAGCGGCGAGGATTGTGATGTTGTCTGGCGCAGAGTTGCCGAAGAAGGTCGTGTTGCGGAGGATCGAGCCGGAGGCAGCGATGCGGGAGGAGAAGAAGAGTGCAGCGGGGGGTTGGCTCGCGATGCTGTCGACAAACTGCGAGTTGGTGAGAGCTAGGCGCTCGATACCGACGAGAATAAGAGCCTACAAAGGAACAATGTCTGGTCTCTTCAGTCTCTGCACCCTCTTGTGGAGGGGGCGCGCGGCACCGCTTGAAAGCCACTCGTGCAACCGACAAAGCGGGCGCTCTCCAGCGAGATGTCGCCGCTGTTCTCCACGTACATACCTCCTCCGTACTGCGCGAGTTAGGGCGGGAAGGCGTAAGCGGGGAGGGCGAGAGAGCGAGAGAGGGCGGGCAGGCCCAGAGCGGCCCTTTTGGGGAAGGCGTCCCCCGTTTGCCGAACCATGTCCCTCTGCCTTCCTCTCCCGCTTCCGGCACCGCAATGGCGTGCGAGCGTGCGTGTGCGGGGGAGGCGAGCGTGTGCGGGCGTGGGAGACGCACATAGGCAGCCGTGCACTCGCTGAAGCTGGCGCCGTCCAGCGAGACGTCGCCGCTGCTGCCCACCCACATACCTCCTCCGTGCTGCGCAAGTTGGGGCGGGCAGGCATTAAGCGGGGAGGGCGTCAGAGAGCGAGAGAGGGCGGGCCCTCGCGGCCCTTTTGGGGAAGGCGTCCCCCGTTTGCCACCCCATCTCCCTCTGCCTTCTTCTCCCGCTTCCGGCTGCGGCGATGGCGTGCGAGCGTGCGTGTGCGGGGGAGGCGAGCGTGTGCGGGCGTGGGAGACGCACATAGGCAGCCGTGCACTCGCTGAAGCTGGCGCCGTCCAGCGCGACGTCGCCGCTGCTGCCCACCCACATACCTCCTCCCCACTGCGCAAGTTGGGGCGGGCAGGCATTAAGCGGGGAGGGCGTCAGAGAGCGAGAGAGGGCGGGCCCTCGCGGCCCTTTTGGGGAAGGCGTGCGGCGATGGCGTGCGAGCGTGCGTGTGCGGGGGAGGCGAGCGTGTGCGGGCGTGGGAGACGCACATCGCCAGCCGTGCACTCGCTGAAGCTGGCGCTTTCCAGCGAGACGTCGCCGCTGTTGTACACGATCATACCTCCTCCGTCCTGCGCGAGTTGGGGCGGGAAGGCGTAAGCGGGGAGGGCGAGAGAGCGAGAGAGGGCGGGCAGGGCCCAGAGCGGCCCTTTTGGGGAAGGCGTCCGCCGTTTGCCGAACCATGTCCCTCTGCCTTCGCCTCCCGCGGCGATGGCGTGCGAGCGTGCGTGTGCGGGGGAGGCGAGCGTGTGCGGGCGTGGGAGACGCACATCGCCAGCCGTGCACTCGCTGAAGCTGGCGCCCTCCAGCGCGACGTCGCCGCTGTCCCGCACGCGCATACCTCCTCCGGACTGCGCGAGTTGGGGCGCGCAGGCATAAGCGGCGAGGGCGTCAGCGAGCGAGAGAGGGCGGGCAAGCCCAGAGCGGCCCTTGGGAAGGGCGTGTCCCCCTTTGCCACCCCATGTCCCTCTCCCTTCTTCTCACGCTTCCGGCGCGGTGATGGCGTGCGTGCGTGTGTGCGCGGGGGAGGCGAGCGTGTGCGGGCGTGGGAGACGCACATTGCCAGCCGTGCACTCGCTGAAGCTGGCGCGCTCCAGCGAGACGTCGCCGCTGTCGATCACGTACATACCTCCTCCCCACTGCGCGAGTTGGGGCGGGAAGGCGTAAGCGGGGAGGGCGTCAGAGAGCGAGAGAGGGGGGGCATCCACAGCATTCCAATGTGGCGAGAGCTTGCGGGGCCGAGCGGTGCGTGGGAGAGAGGGGCGGCGCACTAGGTTAGCCTCGCAGCCCGTGAACGACACGTCCTTCATCGCAATGTCGCCAGCGCCAGAAGCGAGCACCGCACCGCCATATTCACCAAACCCGTCCACAAAGTGCAGCGCCTCCAGGTAGAGGCTGCAGCCGCTCGAGATGGAGAACATGTTGGAGCTCTTCTTGCCGTCTAGCGTCGCGCCCTCCCCGCTGCTCCGGACCGAGAGGAGCATGTCGCCGCCGCACGCGACGTTGCTGCTAAAGGCAAGGCGGACGCCCGGCGGGATGAAGACGGCCGCGTTGCGGCCCTGGTCCACGGCCTTGTTGATCTCGTCCCGGATGTCTTGAGGCGTGTGGGCGAGGGCCTCGCCAGCGGGGATTGGAAGCAGCGGCGGACGAGGCGGACGCAGCTGCGGCGGCGGCGGGAGTAGCGGTGGGTACGGTGGCGCTTGCTCCTCGCACGCGCCGCAGCTCGCCGGGCAGAACAGCGAGACGAGCGAGCCCACGGTAGCGTCGGGGTTGACGGTTTGCAGATCGAAGTCGCAGCCGAACGTCAAGAAGAACGTGCAGCCGCCGTAGCTGGCCGCGAGACCAAAAAAATCGTTCTCGCACAGCAACGCCGCCACAAGCAGTGGCGATAGTGGAGTGATCTCCTCCGACTCGCACGCGCCGCAGCTCGCCGGGCAAATTAGCGACATGGTCGAGCCCACCGGAGCGGCGGGGTTGATGGTGTGCAGGTCCGTGTCACAGCCCACCAACCCCGCCGTTAAGAAGGCGCAGCCGCCGTAAGCGGTGAGCCAAGCGGTGAGCAAGCCGCCCGGATCGTCCTCGCACAGCACCAGTAGCGGTGGGGACGGTGTCGATGGTGGCGATGGTGGAGTGCTCTCCTCCGGCTCGCACGCGCCGCAGCTCGCCGGGCAGATCCGCGAGAGAATCGAGCCTTCCGGAGCGGCGGGGTTGACGGTGTGCAGGTCCGTGTCGCAGCCCAGCTGCGTCCCGGCGTAAGGGCAGAGCAGCGCGATCAACTCCGAACCGTCCTCGCAGAGCACCGGCGGAGACAGAGGCGGCAGCGACGGCGGCACCCCCCAAAGTCCGGAGCCCTGCTCACCAGACCCGGTCTCGCCAGAGCCAGCTTCGCCCGAGCCAGCCTCGCCCGAGCCAGCCCGAGCCACGGGGAGGGCGGAGATCAGCAGGAGCAAGGTCACCGAGCCGAGACTCTTGCTCAGCCGAGGACGGACCGCCTTGCTGGGCCGCTGCCCCGAGGCCGCACCGGAGCGCGGCGCCCGCTGCCCCAGCAGCAGCCAGCAGGCGCCGCACGCTTGGAGGAGCAGCACCGCCGCAGGGGCGCAGCACCACCACCACTCGCGGAGGGAGGGCCGGCCAAGAGTGGCGGCGGCGTCGACGATGGCGCGCACGGAGTCGCGCGCGCCGGTCCGGAGCAGCTTCTCGCCCTGCGCGATCTCGATTGTCGGCCGTGACTGCCCCAAAGTCCCGCCACCGGCGCGGCCGGTGCCAGAGGCGCGCAGCGCCTCCGCCAGCGGGTGGAGAAAGTTGCGGTCGGAAACGGGGGGTGGCTCGAGCAAGCCGGCGTGGAGGGCGACGCCCTCGTCCCACGCGTGCGCCGAATCGCCCTCGAGCGAGAACTCGCTCAACTTGTTGGCCTTGCGGCGCACGTTTGCGTCCCCTGACTCGCTGGTCGCGCACGGGCACTCGTTCATGATGCACGCCTCCTTGTGGGCCGCCTCCACGCACGCGTCGCTGCCGAGCGACGCGGAGGCGTTCGGCACGTGATGTGCGCTCGATCCGGCCGCGCCGTAGCCCGCGAGTTCGACGCTCACCAACTTCTCCACACGTTCGCCGCCGCGGCAGCCGTCAAAGGCGGAACTGGTCTTGCGCGGCCCGCCGAGGCTGCCGCGGTTGAAGACCGTGCGCTGTAAGTCGGCCGGGATGCCCAGCATGTCGAGGATGGAGCCGCACGCTGGCTGGGAGGTGTCCTCAGCCGCCGTCTCAAAGCCGCGCAGCGCCGAGCGCGCCGCCTCCGTCGAGCGCCCGTCGTGGTCGATGCAGGCGTGCTTGACCGAGTTCGAGCCGAGGGCGTCGCCCGCGATGCGAGTCGGGCCGCTCTCGGATTGCGCGAGCCCCGCAGGCAGGCCGAGCAGAAGCAGGCGCACACACAGGTGCACATAGGTGCACATTCGGAGGCTGCCGAGAGGATGCGAGGGCGCAAATCGGTGTGAACAATCCAAGAGTCCATATCTTCGGGCCTTTGAGTTGCGGCGCCACATCACCGTGCCGATGGCGCCGCAGGCGATGGCGAGGAGGATGAGCACGAGTGCGGGCATGAGAAGCGGCGAGCAGCTCACGAGCGAGGACGCCTTCGAGGCGACGGCGGGCGAGAAGGCCGAGGACGCCGCGGAGGCGACGCCGGATGAGAAGGTAGAGGACGCCGACGAGGCGACGGAGGCTGCCGAGGCGACGGCAGACGAGAAGGCCGAGGCCACCGCCGTCGGGCTAGGCACGGCGGGCGCGCAGTGGCCCAAGGCGGGCATGCAGACGAGGAGCAGCCACCGGAGGGCGCCCTCGGCCTTCGTGTAGCCGCCCCGCACGCAGTCGGCCGCCGCCTTGAGGCCGGCGCGACCGCCGGCGCCGCATGTGCCAGCGCCGGCGCCGCATGTGCCAGCGCCGGCGCCGCACGTGCCAACGGCGAATGGCGCCTTGCCGGACGTGGTCTGCGGCTCGCGGCGCCGGTCCGGCGAAGGCGGCGTCTGCGGCCCGCCGCGCGGCTTCGGTCGCCGGTGCGAGCCGCGGCCCTTTGCCTTGCCAGACTTGCGCCTGCCCTTTGCCTTGCCAAACTTGGGGTTGTTGCGGCAGCGCATGGCCTTGCGCCGGCACTTCCCCGAGCGCCGCGACTGCAAGTCCGCCCACTTCTCCCGTTGCTCGGCAATGAGATCGAGCGCGGCCTTCGCCTTCTTCAGCCGCCCCTCCCAGTGCTCGCGCTCCTTGGCGGCCTCGGCCTCAGCCTGCCCCGCGCCCGCGACCGCGCTCAGGGGCTTGGGCGCCACGGGCGCAATGCCGCCGGAGGTGGGGACTCCCGGCGACGGCGACTTCTCGCCGTCGGCGGGCGCAGCCTGGTAGCTGACGCTCTCGCCCAGCCGGCGGACTGCAGCCTCGACGCCGTCCACGTAGCCCGGTCCGGAGCCGCTGCGGGCCGACGCGGGCCCGCTCTTCCCCGCTGCCATCGGCGTGGGCAGGCCCGGGTAGCAGGTGGTGTCCTGCAAGCGCGATAGGGGCACACGGGAAGGGAGATTAATACGGGTGGGTGGAAAGCAAGGAGTGCCAGGAGAGAATGCTGCGGGCCGGCGCTCACCGTTGGGTCGGGCGTGTTGGAAACGGTCTTGGCCGACTTTTCGACCTCCTTGGCAGCCTCCTCGGCGACGGCCTCCTCGGTGATGGGCGCCTCGGCGACGGGCGCCTCCTGGGAGGCGGACACCTCGGCGGCGGCGGGCTTGATGGTCGCCTCCTCGGTGGCGGACTCCTCGGCGACGACGGGCTCCTCGGAGGCGGCCTGCTCGGCGGCGGCGGCCTCCTCGGTGGCGGCGGACTTGGTGGAGGACTCCTCGGCGACGACGGCCTCGTCGGAGGCGGCTTCCCCGGCGACGGCCTCCTCCTTCACGACGACGTCGTCGTTGACGCCGCACGCCTGCGTGAGGGAGAAACGTAAATGTTTGGAGACGGGGACACCGCAGGGACAATGCCGATCCTGGCGTGCGCGTGCGCACCTCAGCTCCGAGCGAAGGCGGCAGCGTCAGGCTCGCGCGGCGGCGCTGATACCACTCCTCATACTCCGCACTGGAAGCGAAGTAGCCACCGACCTTGACGGAAGCCGTTGGCCCGAGCTCGGTCTGAACCTGGGCCCCCTCCGCGAAACAAAAGCTGATTGGCACCTTTGCGAGGCTCCGATGGAACACGTGGGGGTTGTCGAACCAGACGCCCTTTGTTGATCTCACAACCAAGAAAGCCGACTCGCCCTCGCTCTCATTGAAGTCGACCATGTAGCGCCTCTCCCTGCAGAGCACATAAAAGCAACCATAAAAGCAACCATCAAATATGAATTAACTATTAAGATTGAGGCGCCCAGTACAGCGCTGCAGCTGCTGCACCAACTTCTGCAGATTGCGCATTCTTACTACTGCATATCACGCTAGTACGGTCGATTACTGCAGACTACTGCTGCGGACTACTGGGCATTGTTACTGTCGACTGAAGCTGATTACACGCTATCAATTAAAACTAATGACTATTGATTATTAAGAGGCGCCCAGTACAGCGCTACAGCTGCTGCACCAATTTGTGCGACTACCACTGCGCATTATTATTACTGTCGGCTGCTGCTGATTAAAGGCTGTTACTGTGGACTACTGCATATTAATGACCGTTGATTATTATGATTCGCCCAGTACAGCGCAGCTGCTGCACCAACTACTGCGACTACTGCTGCGATATACTGCAGCGGACTACTGCGCATTATTACTGTCGGCTGCTGATTACACGCTGTTACTGTGGACTACTGCATGCTATCAATTACATATTAATGACCATTGATTATTATGAGTCGCCCAGTACAGCGCTGCAGCTGTTGCACCAACTTGTGCGACTACTGCTGCAGACTGCGCATTGTTACTGTCGACTACTACGGATTTCACGCTAGTACGGTCGATTACTGCAGATAAACGACTGCGGACTGAGTACTATGATGATCTCGGGGAAGCTCTCAGGCAATGATCAGGTTGAAGAGGCCAGCCAGCGCCATCTTAGAAGTCACAGGCGCACGAGACGTGGAGGGCGTACCAGTGTGATCGGCTGAGAATGAGTGCCTGTAGAAATTAGCCATCGCCCATCAGCGTGGAGTGCATGAATGAGTAACTACCACAGCCGAAGTTTGTGAACGAGTGAGAATGAATGACTAAGTAACTCGGCATCGGCGCATGAGAATGTGCGTGGAGAGTGTACCCTGTTAATGGGTGAGAACGAATGATTAAGTAGGAAGTAGTCATAGGCGCACGAGCGTGGAGGGCGCAACCTGTCAATGACGAGTGAAATTGAATGACATCTACCACAGCCGCGGCTTTTGAATGAGTGAGAATGAATGATTAAGTAGTAATTAGTCATAGGCGCCCTGTTACTGAGAATGGCTAACTGCCACAGACTTGACACGTGTGACTAAATTGTGATTAGTCCCTAATAGTAACCACGAGACGGGAGAGCGTTCCGCGTTAATGAGTGAGGGCGTATTTACGCAATCCTGTGTCGGTCTCGGCTGGGGTCTCGGGTAGATCTCGGAACCTCTGCGCGCGCAGCGGCAGCGCAGCGGAAGGAACACGCCTACGCGATCACAACCGTGTGAAAGAGAGTCAAAGAAGATGTCCTTTGTTTATGAGGGATCATGCGGGCTATGAAGGCATATAATAAAATCTCGGGCAATCTCGGGCAACCTCGCCTAAAAAGACAGAAAGAAATCAACGCGCCCGCGTGCCGCAGCAGGAGAGGAGACTGGGCTTCTTGACTTGACCGGGAAGGTTCGAGCCTGAGAGAGTAGAGCTGCGCCTACGGGCAACACGCCGCGGCGTTAGCGTCGCGACGACCGGCACACTCTCCCGTGTCCTCGGCGCTCGGACTGGAGCCGGGCAGCGATTGGCACGCGAGCGGGCTGCGTCGCTCTCTCGCCGGAAAAGAGTGGGGGCCATCGGGCGGGTTCGCTCGGTGTAAGGGTGGGGAACGAGCTGCAGCGGCCGCGTCTCGCGGCTCCTCGGCAGCAGCCTCACCTGCGAACGGGAGGTGGCAGGCATTGTGAGGCCGAGAGGGGCGTAGTCGCATGGTGGGAGCGGAGAGGGAGCGGCGGGTTGCGCGAGCGAGATGCGTCGCGTCGCTCGGGCGGCTCGCCGCGGGCATATGTGCGTCGATACGGCGGGGCCAGCGCGAGCGGAACGGGAAAGGCGAGGGTTGGACCTGTGGATCGAGGGGAATGTGACGCGGCGCTTTTGGATATCTATATGAAGAGGGTACCGAGTAGCCAGCCGAACGCCCCACCTCGATCAAAAAGAGCGCCTTCGGCACTACTCTCTCGAGGTCTCGCGGATCTTATAAATCAGCCGATCGTTTTTTTGTATTCAGCGGGGCACGCGCGGAACGGAATACGTGCCGACTGTGTATAACACTCGTGTCCTGCTGTCAAAAGCTCAAGAGTCAAGACAGGGACGTAGAGCTCTACATGCCGGCCTCAAATTTTCTCTTCGGCTCGCTTTCTTCTGTGCGCAAGAGCCGGGCCTCGCACGCCTGACGCCGGCGGCTCCTGGCCCTACTCTATGCAGAGAACCCAGCCGGGGCGGCCGCCGTAGCTCTCGGCCCAAACGTAGCCGTTTCCGTTCACCAGCGGTGGTGCGTTCTCGGCCGCAACCTCCTCGGTCATACCTTCGGTGTCGCAGTGGTCGGTGGTGGTCCCACCGTCGGTCGTCATGCCGAGCGCGACGCGCTCCTTGTGAGCCGCGAGCCATGCTGCGATTGATGCGTCGGCTCGCGCACTTGCTGCGTCCTGGCGCTTGTTGAAGTCTGCCGCCGCCTTCTGCCACTGCCGCTGCCGCAGCGCCCGCAGCCGCTGCAAGGTCTCGTCGGTCAGCAGCGTCTTCGACTGGCGGTCCTCAATCACGGCGGCCTGCACCCGCGACAGGAGAGAGAGAGCTTTTGTGGTGTTGGTGTACGCAATAACGGGACAGGGTAGTCGTTCTCTATAGCTCCCCTTCTGGCTCTTAGCATGAGCTGCGCCCCGACCCCTTTCGCGCAGCAACACCTTAAACTTTTAGGCCCTCCAAATTCGGGTCGGAGCGTAGCGGAGTGGGCCCCGAGAGTTTGAAAAAGGAGACGGACGCTTGCGTCCTAGCCTCCAACAACGCCTCAACCCTGCTGCTCTCTGACCACAACCTCGCGGCCCGCTGCACGGCTCTTTGAGCGCGAGAGGAGCTACGAGGCGGCGGCGAGCGCAGGCGGCGGCGGCGGCGGCGGCGCGGCGGCGGATCGCGGCGCAGACAACGGCAGCAATCTGCGGCACACATACACACACGCCTCCCTTGCACTATACCACTCACACCGCCGCCGCACTCTCGGGGAACCTGGTTTGTGGACCTCCCGCACCTGTCCTGACAGTCCTGACAGAGTCCTGACAGAGTCCTGACAGAGTCCTGACAGAGTCCTGACAGAGTCCTGGCGGGGTCCTGACGGCGCACGGTCTTCACAGTGCTCACAAGTGCCTCCGACGAGACCTCCACCTTCCTTCACTGCAACCCTCCTTCCCCTCCCCCCCAGCAGTGAATGATAGACGCCCAGGTAGGTAGGTAGGTAGGTAGGAAGGTGAAGAACAGTCAGGCTCGGACGCCCAGCCCCCCTTTCGACCGTGCGCGCCCTCTGCGGAATCGTCCTGATGGGGCAGTCCTGACGCAAACTTGAGAGTCCTGACAAGCAAACTTGAGAGTCCTGACAAGCAAACTTGAGAGTCCTGACAGAAACTTGAGAGTCCTGACAGAAACTTAGAGTCCGACGACAGACAAAAGAAATCACGCTCACTCTCGCGCCACTCGGCTCGACCATGAAAGCGCACAAGCAAGAGAGGCGCGGCCATGGTGCAGGCAACGTTACAGCCGGCAACGTGCAAGAAGGCAGCAAAGCTCGGCCACGACGTCCATGGCCCGCGCCCCCCCGATTTGCCACCGGCGGCCTGCAGGCCAGCGCCGAGCAGCGGACCGACTGCTGACCGACTGCTGACCGACTGCTGACCGAGGCAGCGCCCACGGCAGCGCCCACAGCAGCGCCCACGGCAGCACCCACGGCAGCACCCACGACAGCGCCCACGGCAGCGCACACGGCTTGGCTGGCCATGTCAGCCGCGCAGGGACCCTCCCGCGGGTCCAACCCGAAGCGCTCGACCGCTCGACGGCGCAAGTCGGCTGACGGAGCGAGCCGCATAGCCCTCCAGTGCTCACCGCAGGATCAGGCCCGACCGGCCCACGCTCACGGCCTGGCCTGCCTGTGGACCAGCAAACTCGTTGGCTGTACGCGAGCAAAGAGCTGCGTGGCTGGGTTGTGAGCATACCGTCCCCGTTGCGCCCTTTCCCTCAGTGGAGGGCCGTCCCTGCCCTCGGGAGTAACTCGACTGTACACCCCTCCCTACTCTCTAGCTAAGGGCTCTGTTCACAGCGGGGGGGCAGTGGTTGTCCTGGCGGAGTCCTGGCGGAGTCCTGACAGAGTCCTGACAGAGTCCTGACGGAGTCCTGACAGAGTCCTGACGGCCTATTTTGGAGGTTTTCAACTTTGAGGTATTGTTACTATGTGAGGGTGAAATGAATGAATCAGTTCTTTGGGACAGTGCAATCCTTTTAATTATTACCTCCAACTCAAAAAAAGTCTGATGTCAAACGGACAACGGGGTCCCTTATGGTGGCCTGTAAGGGTAAGGTGCGGGAGGTCCACAAACCAGGTTGGGGGCGGGCAGCGGCGGCGGAGGAGAAGCTACGGCGGGTGACGACGCGGAGACGGCGCTGAGGGAGCGGCGACCGCGGCGCGACGGGAGGCGGTGCAGCTGCGGCGGCTGCCGCCGCCTCGGCTCGACAGCAGCTGCATGGCTAAGCCTCCCCTTGAGCTCGCTCGCGCTCGTCGTCGCCCCTCGGTCAAGTCCATGCCCAATCCTTCCCACATCCGTCCACCCTAGACGAGGCGCTGCCCCGATTACCGCTCCGCATCCATTCCTGCCTTGCTCGCGCGCTCTGGTCGCCCTTCACACGGACTCACGGATCCATCAGTCGAGAGCATCACACCAACCTCCATAACTGCATTGACTTTCATCGCCACTTCCAAGACCGCCCTGTCCGCCTCCGCTGTTATTCCATCCCGTTCCCCCTTCTCCATCACTAAGGTCTCCACTCCACCTCCCACCCGGAAGGCACATCCACTCTCCATCAACTCCACGCTCTTCCTCCGACAAAACACGGATAGCATAGGGTGGCACACCGCATTCGCACTGAAGTTGTACTCGTTGGCCGTTAAATCTGTTTCCACTCTCCATGCCCTCACTCCAGCCACTCCTCCGATGCCAAGGTGACAGTGATGCCTTCCTCTCGCCTCCAACTTGCACCCACTCCTCTGCTCGAACTCTCTCCTCAGGTCCTCCGCCACCTGAGAGAGAGAGAGAGAGAGAGAGAAAAAAAACCCCCGCCAATGGCCGTTATCCGTTAGTGCGGACGTCGCCGCGGCTCGCCTCTGCCGCGGCGGCTGCTGCGCGCACGCGGCGGCGCCGCTCTCTCGCGAGACGGCTGGCGACGCGGCTCGCCGCCGACGTACGGTGCGCTCGTCCGACGGTCCGCAGCGTGGCGTGCGCGGCGCTGAGCGCCGCTCTGCGAGCGCCTCTGCGCCTGCACTGCCTGTCTCTGTTGCTGGTGGTGGTGGTGGTGCTGCTGCTGGTGGTGCCGATGCTGCTGCTGGCGCGGCGCGGCTGTGCGACTGGGCTCGACGCGCGCGTCGCGAGCGTCTGACGCGGCGGGCGGCGTCGGGCAGGTGCGCTTCTCTCTCGGGTGGTGGTGGTGGTGCTGCTGCTGCTGCTGGTGGTGCAGATGCTGCTGCTGGTGCGGCGCGGCTCTCCGACGCGACTCGATGCGCGCGTCGCGGCTATCTGACGCGGCGGGCGGCGTCGCGGGCGGCAGCGGTGGCGGCTCGCGGGTGGAGGTGGAGGCTGGTGGCTGTGGTGGACTTTGAGTTTATTTCATGGTCGAGTACGGGGACCGGGGGGTCAACCGGGAGGCAGGGGGTTCAACCAGGCGACGGAGGACCGTGGGCCATCGCGGGGACCAGCTTGTCCGGAGGGCGGGCTGGGCAGATCCGGATGGTCTTCACGCCGGTGGGAGGCACCGAGGCGTCTTGGACGCTCAGCTCTACCTTAAGCTCCTGAGGGGCGCGTGGTTGTAACCACGTAGTAGGACTACAGCCCACCACAGACACCCTCCCCCACTCCTCACGTGTGTTCACACCCTGACCCTCTCCTCTCTCCTCTCTCTCTCTCTCTCTCCTCTCTCTCCTCTTGTCTGTGCTGTCTGCCTGACTCAGGCACTCAATCTGCCGATGCGTGATTGTGTGTGGGCTGCTCCGAGGGGGCCCTCTGTGCGATCCGACGGGTAGGGGGGCTGTGCCCGGGCGGTGTCCGGTGTGGAGTCCCCTTCTGATCCCGCCTGGGATGTTGGGTGTGAGGTTGTGGCGGCTTCGATCCCAAGGGGGGGAGCTGATCCCACTAAATAACCAACTCTCAGGGGCAGTAGGTGGGCGAGCTTCAGGCACGCTCATCTCGATCGTCAAGACGTCGCTACGCGCGGTCTTCCGCGGGGGGAGCTGCGTCGACGGGTGCGGGACCGCGGCGCAGCCAGTGCCGCGGCGAGGCCTCCGGCTGTTTGCGGCGGGCGGCTTGCTGCTCGCGGCGATGGCGAAAAACTCGTCTCGCCACACGCCAAGGGCTTATGCTCTGGCGAGACGTGAGGCGCATGCGCCCAGGAGGGGAGGGGGCATGTGTAACGACACTGCTAGAGATGCCTTTCGGGGCCCAGAGATAAAACTTCTGTGATGCCATGCGTGACCTAGTAGTGTCCCCAGCTATGGGCGTGTCCACGTTGGAGCCAGGTGTGGTGTGGGCGCGAGAATAGCTCCGCCGTTCATGGAGGCAACCGATGCGAGTCGACTGGTGTGTGTCGTCGTGGTTTCGTATCAAGAATTCTCTCTCTCTCCGCCACCTCTGAGGGGAAAAGCCCTCCGGCTAGCTTTGTCCACTGCTTCTCCGCAATCTCTCTCCCTTCTCTCTCTCTCTCTCTCTCTCTCTCTCTCTCTCTCTCTCAAAGGATATCCACCTCGAGAACCTCGAGAACCCCGCGCAAAAGAAATCGCGGGTCCCCTGTAGCAGGCCATTTACGTGTATGCGCTGCGCCAACCTGGTGCTCTCCTCCTCACTCGCGTGGGCCTCGGTCCAGCGCAGCGCTGCCGTCGCCGTCGGTCGCGCCACCGTCCCGCTCCTCCGCTCGGCGCAGCGGCGCGGCCCGCTGACTGCCGCTCGAGGCGTCGTCTGCTCGGCCGGGCCGTCAGGCTCCGCGTTGGATGGGCTGCAGCCGTCGGCGCTCGAGGCGGACACCATCTTTGCGCTCTCCTCTGGGGCGGGCGTGCGCGCTGGCGTCTCCGTCATCCGCGTCTCTGGGCCGCACGCCAAGCTCGTCTTGCAGCGGATGTGCCCGGGCGGCGGCGGCGGCGACGGCCTGCCGCCGCCGCGCCGCGCCGTGCTTCGCAGCCTGAGGCAGCCGGGCAGCGACGTCGCAGGCGGCGACGGCGGAGGCGGAGGCGGCGAGGCACGGGAGGGCGAGCTGATTGACCAGGAGTTGGTGCTGTGGCTGCCAGGACACTCCAGACACCTCCTAGACATTTCCCACTGGTTGACCAGGCGCTGGTGCTGTGGCTGCCGGGCCCTCGCTCCTTCACCGGCGAGGACACCGTCGAGCTGCACACGCACGGCTCGCCCGCCGTCGTCAGCGCGACGCTCGAGGCGCTCGGCCGCCTCTCGTACCACCGGCTGGCCGAGCCGGGCGAGTTCACGCGGCAGGCGCACGCCAACGGGCGTATGGATTTGACCGAGGTGGAGGCGCTCGGCGACCTGATCAACGCGCAGACGGACGCGCAGCGGCGGCAGGCGCTCGCGGCGATGGGGGGCGGGCAGAGGCGGTCGCTGGAGGCGTGGCGGG